CTTTATTAGGAGTTTTTATGACCCCTTTGTTGAGGTAGAATTCACATACATAAAATCCACATACTGGATTCTGAACATTCATGTAGAAGTCTTTTGTGTACACGTTTTCAGTTCTTTTGGGTCTCTTCCTAGGAGTGTAACTGCTAGGTCTTACGGTGAGTCTGTTTAACTTGTTGAGGAATTGCCAATCTGTTTCCCAAAGAGCCTGCACCATTTTACATTCCCACAGCAATGTTTGAGGGTTCCAATTTCTCCACGTTCGTACAACACTCTGTTGCCTGTCATTTGATTCCAGCTTTCTTTGTGGGTGTGAAGTGGTATCTGGCAGTTTTGATTTGCATTTCCCTAATGACTGTGATGTTGAGCATCTTTTCATATGCTTATCAGCTTATTGGCCACTTAGATATCTTTGGAGAGAAGTCTGTTGGAATCTTTTGCCCATTTTTTAAATTGGGTTATCTTCTTATTTTTGAGTTGTAAAAGTTCTTTATATATCCTAGATACAAATTCTTTATCAGATATATGCTTCGCAAATCTGTTCATCCCTTCTGTGAGTTGTCTTTTGACTTTCTGTGAAGCACAAAAGTGTTTCATTTCTATGATATCCCATTTATCTGTTTTTCTTTGGTCACTTGTGCTTTTGGTGTCCTATCTAAGAAACCACTGCCTGCCCCAAGAGTGTGAAGACTTACCTCTCTGTTTTCTTCGACAGGTTTTATAGTGTTAGCTTTTACATTTAGGTCTAAGATCCATTTTGAGTCTATTTTGTTCTTACAAATGGCTGGCCAGTTGTCCTCAACGCGATTTATCGAATCATTGGTCCTTTCCTGCCATTTAAAATGGCATTTGTGGAACCAACAGCTCAATGTCCCCAGTTCCATTCTCCCACTCCTCCTGGTAGTAACAGAATCCAAATTTTAGCTGGGCACATAGCCACCTGGCTAGAGATATATTTCCTCGCTCTTCCTTTGCTGTAGCAGAAGTGATCTATGCAACCCCAAGATCATGTTTTCATAAGGAAATTGTGCCCCTCCACTAACTTTTTCCCACCTTCCCATAGGCTCAAATGTAGACTTTCCGCTGGTGAGCCAGCTCTGACCACATGGACCTGGACATCTCTTAGGGGGTGAGAGAACAATAAGATACGAATGGGTTTCTAGATGAACTCATGGAACAGAGCTACCTACCAACACTGTGGACCACCCACCCGCTTCTGGGCTATTCTGAATTAGAGGGAAAAAAAAAATCTGTATTTCATTTGAGCCCCTTTATATTTACGCCTCTTGTTATTATAATACCTTCAATGTATGCTGTATATGTCTCTATAGGCAAGGTTTTCCTTAAATTCCCATTCTAGTTTATTGATCTATTCTTATACCAAAACCACAGCTTCAATTTCTGTAGTTTTATAATATGTTTAAGTGAGGGAATGAAGGGAGGGGAGTAAGTCCCTGTCACAGTTTCTAAAGCATTTCTTGGCTCTTCTCCTGCGTTCAATCTGTCCAATGAATTCAGACTAATTTTGTCACCTTCTACCACCTCCTCCTTCCCACCTCCAAAGTCACTGGGTACTCTCCAGTCAAAAGTCATTTCTTGGTCTTTGAGAGTGTGTCTGTTTTCTAAAGTTGTATGTGCTAATGCTCGCTGAGGCATGATGAAGGGCCGTTTTGGCTCCTCTCCCTTCATAGGGGCAGCAGCCCGGGGTTGAAATACGCCCACTCCACCATGACTGGTGAGCCAGGGCCATGAGGACAAAGTCCCATGAGCTGTGGTTCTCGCTCCCAAGGAACACCGACACGATGGAGGTGGTAGGACAGCCATACTTGAACGTATGTGACACAAACCACAGAAACAGAATCTTCACGATGAGAGTCAAGGCTGTAGGTCTGTGTTACAGGGAGAATCGGCGAGAGGAGTGAGTGGAAGGAAGTGGGAGTGCTTCACACAGTGAGACGGCTCCTCTAACTGGGCACTGTCACCGTCTTCCTCACAAGAGGGGGATGGGCTTGGCATGAGTCGCTTGCCATGAGTCGCTTCTGGTTTCCAGTGCTTAGAAACACTTTTGGAGGATGCTTCATGCAGTAACACACAGAGCAAGTGCCATCTATTATAATGTATTCTCTCTTTCTCCCCGTCGCTAGAGTAGAGCACAGAGTTGTTTTTCCTACCAGAATATGCAATTGGTCCACCACTTAATTGAACCAATTTAGGATGCTCAATTTCCTTTGTAAAATTGATTTTCACTCCATATTCACATCGAGGGCCCTCCACGTTTTGAATCTGTTATGGCGTCGTGGTGGAGAATGTGAACAACTGTAAGTCAAGAGAGCTAGTTTCTGGTCACCTCCTCCATCTCACAGGCTCACATCAGCTGCATTCTGGGAAAGCATTTTAAAGGAATTATCTAAAGTAGCTTAGTTTCAAACTTTAGGTTTAAAATGTCCCTCAGTTTCTCAGCATTAACAGATAAAAATGGCAAAACAAAAACAAAAACCCCACACAAGTCAAGTCTGTTTGGAACATCAGTATGTGTAACGCACAGCATACAGCAGATTATCCCCCCTGGGCTTCGTTTCCAGACTGTTCTTTGGCTTTTTCATATATAGGGGGATGATCAGTTGCATACTGTTGAGGTTACAAAGTACAGACGGAGTTGATTTGTGTAAATTCAAAGCGTTGCTCTGAATCATTTGAGTTACCAAATTCTCATGGGCCACACGCTGCATGTCCTGTGTGGGACTACTGACACAGTTTCTCCGCTGTTGATGAAGAGTGTCCGTACAGGGACAGAGGAAGGGCATGGGGTCTAAGACTACGGGACAGAAGAAGGGAGAGTGCAGTACCCAACATCCCTCATCTGTCACAGTCCACCCTTTCTCGGGGAGAGGGATGTCCTGAAAGTGTCTTCACCAGGGCCTGAAACCTTCATGGTCTTACAGGTAAGGTCTCTGACCTCGTGAGGCTTAGATGCCGGTGGAAAGCAGGCCATAAACAACCACGTCGTTAAGCAAGACAGTGTCAGAGAGTGGTAAGTGACAAGAATGCACTGAGCCTGTGACCTGATGGGGACCAGTGGCTGCTTATAAGCCGCCGGTCAGGACTTGCTCTGTGCTGATGTTTAGCTGAGACTCGAATTACGCTGAATGAAGGGTGCTTCAAATCTTGATTGCCTCTAGTCTGGGCCGGAGCTCCAAGTTCAAGTTCCTTCTCCAGTTCAGGAGCACACTGTGCCTTATCTGCTGGTGTTTCCTCCCGGCTCACACTTTGTGACGGTCCTGGTGGGCCCTATGCACACGGGGACTTTGGCTCTCTGCTCTACTGGCCTCTAGAACAGCACCAGGCCCATCCTAAGTGTTCAGCACACACGTGAATGAATGAATGGATGGAGTAACCTCGCACACGAACGCGTCTGTCACTCTTCTCCCAATGGCTTCTCCCCATGCTCCATACCTTAGGGAGCACAAGGGACACTGAGGTTCCCCAGCCAGAGCCCCCTCTCCTCCCTAGAGCTGCACTTCCCTCTCCATCCCAAGCTAGTGAGTCACCGAGTCCCGCTGGTTCTCTTTCTTCTGCTTGGGCATTGGGGCTGTGTCCTCATGGCAGCTCCATCTATCCCTAGCTATTCCCACAGCTTCTCAATGGGACTCCCTGCTTGAGGCTTGCCCCTGCCCCGTCAGTGTACCATATTTCAGCCAGACAGGTCAATACGGCATATGAATCTGATCAAGATCTCTTAGGGGGCCTCAGTGGTCCCCGCCCCCCACCCCCTCCTGCCCTGCGTCTTCCCAGTCTCTTGGGATGGTCTGCGCGGCCCGGCATGTTTGGCACCTGGCCAGCCTCCCCAGCCTCGGCTCTCACTGCTCTTTCCCTTGCTTCCGAGCCCCTGCCCTCGGTGGGTGTTCAGTAAACGGCTGAGCTGGACTCAAGGTGCAGCTGGGGAAGGAGCCAGCCGCCGCTCCCAGTCACTCCTTGGGGGGGGGGGGGCAACTGAGGCAGCGTGTGAGCTTTCCGTCCACGGGGACAGGACACAGTCCCCTTCCCAGTGGCGCCTCCCGTGGTGCACCTGGGCCTCTCACACTGCAACCCTTCAGGGCTGTCAGTCGGTCGGGTGACACATAAATGTGTGGGAGCGAGGGCATCCTAGGGCCTTGGGCCAAATAACATGATGCGGGCCCCCTCACAGATCGTTCCGCGGCCCAAAGGGCCGCACGGACTTCTAGAAGCGTCGCGGGGCAGGCTGGTGTCGGGCTCCCAGCTTCCAGGAGGTGCGGGTACGTGAGACGCTCCAGCTGGCTCTAGTTTGGGTTTTCTTGTTTTTGCAAGCCCCTCGCCCTGCCGCCTTCTCACCGGCGACCCAGCTGCTTTCTTCTGTGGTCGCTCTTGCTCACCCCCCACCCCACGCCCACCTCGCTGGCAGCTGCAGAATAGCTCCGGGCCCTCCCAAGCCAGGCCCCAGACCCCGAGGAGAGGCCAGGAGAGAACTGACAGACCCGCCTTAGGGGTACTCCAGGGGGGGGGGGGGGGAGCGGGAGGAGGTTGGAGGGGTAATGAGGAGCAGCGCCCTCCTGTGTTCAGAGAGGAGCATAAAGCAATTAGGTTTGACTAGCCACTTTGCACTAAAGAAGACGGATTTGTCCTTCTGATGTGGTGTTTCCATAGAAGCAGGGCTTAACCTTTTAAGTGAAGATTATAAAGCTACCTCATTCATTTAAAATTAGGCTTCGAGCCTATCCGTACTTAATGTTCAAGTGGTACATGGGGACCGGGCACAGCCATTCACCGGACTGCCAGGCACAGCCTGAGACTTTCTGTATTTGAAGACACTCTTTCTGGTGGCAATCTAGTTTGTTTGTTTATTTTTTAAAAATTAGCTTCCTAAGGAGATGTAACTCTCTGTGTAAGATCACCCGAGTATTAATAAATACCTTTTAATTAATGATTAGCCCTGACTCCTCTTCATAAACACACGGAGGACTGGCACACAGGCACGAAACAGCACGTTCAATTAAAGTAATTTATTGTATTCTTCTGGAACGGACATAAAGAGCATCTTGGGAATTGATATCACAACACAATGTTATACACCATTTCACATCTAGCCTTGTGTTGAAATTCTTTTTAAAGAACATAGTAATTTTAAAAAATCTAAATATTTACATATTAATAAAACATATATACAGAAGATTGAGACATCATCCATAGATATGGAATATATATATTTTTTTTTACTAAGAAAGCCTATAAAAAGGATTTCTGAATAAAGTCTGAACAGTAGTCACAGTAAGTAAACACAAATACAATTTTAATGTACAAAATATGATTTTACTGCTGCAGTTTTGTGATATGTATTTCCAATTTGTGGATGCATTGCACGTACTTGTGAGTTGAGCAATCCCCACCCCTCCTCAAGTATTGAAAAATCCAAGCTGTCACCCAGTCTTGGAAGGAAGTGCTTTCGAAGGTTCGTGATGCATATTTAACAGATCCCACAGTGGTAAGGTAAATGTTTCTACCTTTATTGGCAACATACTCATCTCACTGTAATAGAGTTGAAAGGTCACTAATTAATCTTTTCAATTCCCTTGAGAAATATTTCCTGCTGCGGGGCAGAAGACAAATTTTAAAACATACGTTGCAGAAAAACAAAAGCCCTGGATGTAGGACTTCATCGGGGCCACTTGCTGACCAATGGGGCCAGTTTCAGGGAAGGGATTCCTAACAGGCCTAGAAATGTAAAACGCTAGTAACTATAGGATGTGACGGAAACCATTTCTCTGAACCTTCCTTGTAACTTCAGAAATAAGGCAAAAGACACACGGATATGAGATGGAGCTCTCTAGCAGTGAGACTGATTCTATAAGCCACGCCTGGGACCAGCTTTGTCACATTTCAGGGATGCCTCCCATCTCTCATCTTCGGCTGATGAGCTGGCCTTCGGTGGACCCCTGCATCGCCCCCGAGCTCCCCTCCGAGCTCAGGTGGGGCGGTTCGGTGTGCTACGGCATGAGTCCCTTGGACAGGGTGCCTCTACAAGAACTCTGAGCTCTAATGCTCTAGGACCTCATAAAACAGGTGCTAGGGAAATAGCAACAATTCTTTCCCCCTCCGGCTCGGCATGTCGACAGCCCAAGTTTCTTTCCGGCTGATTTTTGGCCTTTGGGTCAAGTGCCAAAGATTTTATGGTAATTTGCTTTATACAGTGAATGAGGTCTACATGCAATGTTTCTAAGTAAAACGGTATTTTTAAATTCACCATCTTTTTGGAGAAGGGAATCTGGAGGTAAATATTTCTATAAAACAAATACCCACATGGCAAGCTATCTCTTTAGTATAAACCCTTATTTTCGTATGTTGGTTTCATACGAAGTGGAGGGCGCGTGTACTAGGAGCCAAATGAAATATATAATATTAAGTCCATTTGTGGCTGGTGGCCACACGGTGCCAAAAGCCTGGACCCCGCAGTTTAAAATCCTCTGTGAAAACAGTTGTTAGGTGTCGTGTGGGTCACTGGTTTGAGTTTCTCGCCTTTTAATTAGTCATTTTGTCACTGTGTTGACACGTCTTTGTGAAAGGTCTTTCTTCCCTAAGAGTTCATAGATCATTTGCACTTACTCAGCTACACATGGCTCTCTTTAGAGGAACCAATGTTACAAATGATTTCATCTAATAGGTCAGAGCTATCCTGTCTCCCAAAACAGCGTTTTCATCTTCTAAGCCGCTGAAGGCCTAATTAACGTTGGCCTTCCCAACTGCTCCCTCAGTACTGGAAAGAGCTGTTCTCCTTTATTCTGCATCTAAGGCGTGCACATTAAAATAAGTATGCTTCAAAACTCTATATATTCACATTGAGCTTATGAAAAAAAAAAACGAGAGAGAACTGCTTCTTTTTAGTGAACAATGAACTCACTGGTCATACGCTGGACTTTTAAAAGGTAACAAACGAGTCAACTCTCAAAATGATTTCTAAAAATCTTAACACCAAATTGGAGGCTTGATCATCACATACGACAAAGAAAGTATACGAAAACTATTCAAATGTGATGGGAAAACTTCACAGAACGCCCACACTTTGCAGGAACCTGAAATGCTACGTGGATCTCTGAGGGAATTCAACGGAAGGAGTTACATGTGCTAATGAACAGTGTCACTAAAAGGAAAGTCTAGGCAGTGAAATCTGGCTCTGTGTCTTCTGTGTTTTCTCTCCTGGTGTCAAATATATGACCTACAACAGAGACAAGACAATGAAGGGGGGCCGCTTCTCTAAAGGAGACTTGTACACCTTCTAGGACGGGGCTAGAGGCAAGGAGGCTGGCTCGGTGGAGACCCTCGCTGATGAAGTATCTGTTTCACATTTAAGTCACTAATTTTTCAGCCAAGGCTTTAGTTGTGAGCACTGTTAGCCACTGGAAATTTGTACTGATTATTTTTACAGGAAAGTCCATGACTGTGTGTTACTATTGGAGTATGTCCACATACTGTCCAGGAATAGAATATGGCTAAATAAAATACAGTTTACCTGTAAGAGAGAACATGATGCAGCTATTAAAATGATGTGTATGAAGATTTGTGAAAAGTGGAAAATGCTTGTGAGGTTGAAAAAAAGGAAAAAAAAACCCTCAGGAAACAAAAATTTTACATATTTGGGTCTCCATTGTGTAAATAAAATAGAAAAGTCTGGGGAAAAATACCCAATAATGGTTGTCTGAGTGGTAAAATTAATTTATATTTTCTTCCTTTACTTTTCATTAACTGTTCAGAAGTATGTCAAAGATGGCCAATTTATGACAAAAATTGCTAGGCCCAGGTGAGCTCTGCGCTACCCTCTTTCAAATGAAGAAGCCTCCTTTGTAAATTTTAGAAAGCACTGTTTCAATTTTACTTTCTCTGTACTTTTTTTTCCCTCCCCAGCAGAGCGTGTCCCCCAGTCGCGGGCGGGTCTCGGGCCATCAGAGCGCGCTGCTCACGCTGCCTGCCCCACGCAGGCCCCGGGGCTCCCTGAGGGCGGGTATTGGTTTCCAGAACCTGACCACGCTGATTCCTGGGAGCTGCTCCAACACGCTTACTGACAGGGTTGTGAGGGAAAAGGAATGAAGAAAACCCGCTCTTATTCTTGTTAAAACTAGACCCGCAGAAGGTTGCTGAAGTGTAGCGACTGAATCAAACATCGGCGGCCTGGCTGACCGCACCCCGGACCTGCTCAGTCCCCGTTCGTAGACGCGCTGAAGGGTTACCCCCCTCTCCCCGCCCCTCCCCAACACACACGGATTTGGAAGGAGGAAAAAGACCGTAAAACAGGTAATAAAAAAGGTGTTGCTACATCTTTCAAAAGGACCCACCGTCGGCAGCTGAGATCACCCAGAGAAGGAAGGTCTGACCAGTGAGTCTCAAATGCAAGGGTCAAGCCACCGGTGCAGGAGAGGTGCACTTCGCCTCTGCGGCGGCCTCCTGCGGCAGAGGTGAGGAGGGAGGGCCAGCAGTGGTGCTCTTTGCAGAGACGCTGCCCAGACCGGGGCTTTTACTTTAGAGGCGATCCAGACACGCTACTCTAACCAAGATGATGTAATTCCGATACTGTGACATTTGAGCACCAATCTGCGACTTCTTTTCCCCTTTTCTAAGTGATAAACGGTATGATTTATCATGCTGTGCAGTAATCTGCATCAAACGCCAAGAGTCTAGTGGAGAGACCTGGCTACTCCTACTGTGTCCGTCAGGACCTCACGACCTCGGGCAAGAACTGAGAAAGAGCTGCAGTGAGTTTCAACTGCAGAGGACTTCAGGTAGGCTTACGACAGACATTCTAATTGTGAAGACAGACAGTGGAATGGAATCCTAAAGGGATTAGTACATCCATCGACTCTTAGGATCTTTAGGAAACATGCAGAGAAAAGCTGGCTTTGGCTTAGGTATGAGAAAGCTATGCGGTAGAAGGGCTGGAAGTCGAGAGGCCGGGCTCCGGCCAGGCCACCAACCAGCTGTGAGACCTTGAGAGAGTCATTTAGGGTTTCTGGGCCTCAGGCTTTTTTACCTGTAAAATAAAAGGACTGGATAAAAAGGAGGGAGGGGACTAGATGATCACTAATGTTCCTTCTTTCTCAGATTCCTGGAAATTCTTTTCAGTTCCATGAGGTGGTTCTACCATCCCGGGTTCAATTTCCTCATCTGAAACATCTCTCTGCCTCCATCTTCAGACAGGAAAATGCAAAGGTATTATTTCAAGGGGAATGGCTTTCAAATAATAACAGCAGTACCGCTAATGATAACAAAGCCCATAGGGTCAGGAAGATCGTGAGGAAGGGCAGTACCTCGGCCCTGGGGGCGCCGGGGAGGAAGGCGGGCTTCCTCCAGACCACCTCCTGAAATGCACGGAGCCATTACTGGGAGGAGTAGTTGGTGGGTCTGCTGGGAGTGGGCCAGGTGTGATCAGAACAAGGCTAATGCGAGCTGTCCTGACGGACAAGGACACTAGGGGAAGGAATAGTAGAGATCATGCATCTCCATTATCTTAACTCATAAATGTGGAAACATAGCCAAACAAGCGGAGTTTTAGATTCCCTTTCGTATGAGGGCCGCATCTGGTAAGGACTTGAGGTAAGCAGGCCTTTTTTGTACTAGGGGCCGCAGTTCCTTTATGTGACCATCGATCTGTTGCTTAGCTACGGAGTGACCGGGAAAGCCAGGCGTCATTTACACAGTCGGGGCTTTCTCGCTGTCCTGACCCGTGCCTGTCCCACGGCTGGGAACTCTGCTCTCCTTACCGTCCTGGGACAGGTGCTGCGGTGAACACGCGACTCAGCAGTGCTCCTACAAGGACTAGCTCTTCCACTTCTATTGGCCGGATTGTACTTAAAACTTATCACCCTAAATCTGGAGTTGGGCTTTTTCCCTTAGAGGGTTTTTTGGGGTGTCTGGGTTTTGCAGGCAGAAAATCGTCAGGTTGACTTTGGAGGGCGGTCAATAAAGAGTCCTGCCAGCAACTGAGGGAGTAAATTGTCGCATGGCCCAGGGATGGGGCCCCGTCCCTCGGGCTCTCAGGTATAAGCTGACACAGAGCCAGGAAGCCGGGGTTGGAGTCAAATACTGTGAAGTCGGAATTATGTGCGTGGCTTCCCACTGTAGCAGATGTTGCAGGCTGATTTGCTTCTAGAACAGGGAATACGTGGCCATCCATAGGGACTGGCTTATTCAGTCACTCGCATGCGAGGAACCAGCCTTTCTTCATATAATGTGTGCCCATTATATGAAGAGCCATGACTGCCTCTCAAAACCCCCTTGAGGGGAGGTGGACGAGGACAGACCGGACATGAATTTTATCATGAAACTGGTGATCCTTGTTCTAGACAGCAATATCATTTCACGTTAAAGTCCTCTTAACGTCCACAGGTTTTGGGAGGCACGATGTTGTGACACTAAGTTCTTAGAACCTGCTGTTCTGAGGCTCTTGAGAATATGAGACAGTGTGAGAAAAACGGAGCTTTTCAGACTCAGTGTAAAAATATCTCTCAACACAGCGCACTGAGAACCTCTGATTACTAGGGTCTGGGCCAGAAGCCGTCTGCTCAAGCATCTGGATCTCTGACGTTACAAACATTTTCAATGCAAATGTTTTCATGTGCTGTATTTTCCAGCGGGTGATGAAAATGTAAATGTGTTTTACCTGTTGGTGGTAGGGAAATGCTGTCCAGTCTTTCATCACCGTCAGCTACCTCTGCTGGTTACAAACATAAAACACAAATCTCATTAATTTCAGGGAACACATTCATTTTCCTGAATCCAGTAATACAATTTAAAAACTCCAGTAATGCATGATTGTTTCAACCTTCTTCCCCCTTTGCAGCTTCAGTTGGTTCACATTACAGACTTCAGTACCAGTAGTTAAAGTATTTTTTTAAGATAATGATATAAAATCTTTTTTCTTGCATTAAATTTCTTTTTGGTATCTTATGAACCTAATTCTGTCAATCACTGATGATTTCAGTTCATTTCCCCTTGTTTGCCTATGCTTAAATATCCACCCAGAATCTGGGGGAAATTGCTTAAGTATGATCATGGAAGGACAGAGGTCAGTGAATCCCTGTGGTAGAATTTTCCCTTGTCATCCCCAGAACCATCCCTGTGGGGGAGGCTTAGGAAATTCTGAGAACCAGCCTTTCTTTGGAGAAGATTGGAAACTCAGATCCTAGAGTTGCCCGTCTAAAACGGGCATTAGTTCAGCCATAAAGAAAATCAGAAGGAATAAGTGTATCTTCAAAAGATTCGTCACGTCTGTGTTTCAAAATGCAAACGGTTTTGCTCATGCCTGATATGTTTTAATCTCCTTAAGAGTTTTCCAAAGGTAGCTCCTTCAGTCACAGAAAACCTTGCACTAAGTTCAAAAAAGAAAGTGCTCCTATGTCTCCTGACAACTGATGGGCTCATCAGTCTCCCCAGCATGCTGGGAACAGGTCAAAACATTTCCTCAGGGCCATTTGGATAATTTTGCTAGTTGCTCTGTGCGTCCCGGGGCTGCTTCCCTTGGCAGGTGCGTGTGAGGCCAGTCACATGGGGGCCGCCATTTGCCATCACGTTGGAAGGCTGAGCCGGTGGGAAGCCAAAGTAATACTCCGCTCCTGTTTTTACTGCTGTGGCTTTAAACACAATCAGGGGGGCAGATATAGCTAGAAACACTCAAAGGCTTCCACTCCGGTTCATTCTCTGACACCTTGTCCCCAGATCGCTACATGCTGGCATCAGTGAAAGGCCCATTGTCTGCGGACCCGCTAAATCCACCGCAGAGAAAACGCTGAGAGGAGACACAATAGTCAAGACCAGTTTGGGCTGGAGAAGAGTTTCTGCTCTTCTCCTCTAAAGTGATGTTGTAGGTGACTATTTAATAACATAAAATATTTGATTCAAGTGTGAGGATAAATGATAAGACTAAAAATTTAAAAAATAGGCTTACAGACAAAATACAGGACATACTAAAATGTTAACAGTGTTTCAATCTGGATGAAAGGCTTACAGGCATTTAAAATTTTGTTGAGTTTTAAAAATCATTTTATATATTTATGAAATAATGAACATACGTTATCTTTATACTGAGACACTATTTTCTTCTAATTGGCCTGAGTGAATTTGATTAGGGAGATGAGCTACATGGTAGTCCTATCATTGTCTAGGATTTAAAAAATTTTTCAGTAATAATATCAATACTAGCAATGAGAGCCACCGCCATTTTTTAAATGTTTACCATTTACTGAGCACTTTACACACATCATGTCATCTAACTCTTAGAAAATCCTACAAGGTAGGTTGGTTATTATGCCTGTTTTAACAAAGGAAACAACCAAGACAGACAGAGGTTGAGAGACTAAGGTAATACAGGACACCTGGCTCGTTCAGTCGGAAGAGTGTGTGGCTCTTGATCTCGGGGTCGTGGGTTCGAACCCCACACTGGGTACAGAGATTATAAAAAAAAAAAAAAGAGTAAGGGAATGTAGCTAGTAAGTAGCCAAGGCTGTGAGTCAGGTTCATGCCTGCGCTCTTAATCTCTTTGCTATTAACAGTCCAGACATATATTGCATGCATCACTGTGAGCAATTTTTAAAATCTTCAACTTCTAGTTCATTTTATACTTTAGTAACTTTCTCTACATGTATAATGACTTTCTCTTTAGTTATAACAAAACCCCTCCCTTTGTAATTTAGCCATCCTCACTTTTATTTATTTTTATTTATTTTTTTAAGATTTTATTTATTTATTTGACACAGAGAGAGACAGTGAGAGAGGGAACACAAGCAGGGGGAGTGGGAGAGGGAGAAGCAGGCTTCCCG